ATTGTTTCTACACTAACTCCCAAGGTTTCCTCAGCAAATTTTCAGAGGTAGAACTGCGTTGCCAAATTGGTCAATGGGACATTATTGCAGTCACCGAAACCTGGCTGACAACCGACATTCTAGACTCAGAATTAAGCTTACCCGGCATGACTCTGCTCAGACGCGATCGACCTACAAGAGGTGGTGGGGTGTTACTCTACTTTAGCAGCAAACTACATTGCGAGGTAATTGAATATCCTGCTGCCGCTTCTGACTCACTGTAGTTCAAAGTGCGACTGGCGCAACGCGATATCGGCTTAATCAGTGTGGTGTACTGCTCTTCCTCATCCACAGACTCAACCAGTGAGACACNCACTATTGCAAACCATGTATCAAATTCTGTCACTGAAGTTCGCACATGTTCTCATTGTGGATCCCCCAACCTAGCTAAATCAGCGACCTCTCTACAACCGTTTGAGAGGAAACTCGCACAACTTATGAAATCTTATCCACTTTACAATGTTGTGAAGAAGCCCAAGAGGTTTGGAGCCAACCAGTCACCTTCGGTTTTAGACCTGATGTTAGCTAACGAAGAACTGATGGTGGAAACGATTTCCAATACAACTCCATTAGGGCGTAGTGATCATGCTGTGCTGACGTTTGACTACATTTGCTATACATCCGTACCGCATAATTCTACGGTTAGCTCCTAAATGTTTGTGCACTGAACCAAACTTGAAATTTTGGCGAGAGATTTCCAATGCAAATTTCGCAACAAACATTGTGATCATCTGGTATCACCTGGTAATTTACAAACCACCTGACGGAAATGGTGGACGGCGCCACGAAGACCAAACACATCACCTACTCCAATGGTCGAAGATCAGCGATTATTAGTCGAACAAAAAAGTGTATTTCGCAGAGGAATATCTCATTGAGGGCTTATACACGATGGATAGATAGATAGATAGATCTTACTAGTGATCGACTATCCAGAATATTTGTGAGCACTTCGTATATTTTTTCTCACTTGATCGAATTTTCTAGGCGAGCTAGCGGTGGGTGGCTCTTCAACTGTTTTTTAGCCCCAGAGATCGACTTTGCGCTCTCTCAATCCAGTGAAAGCATCACGGCCTCTAGAAGTTTTTCCCAACAGTTCCCATGAACTAAGCTCATTGGTTTCGGTGAAGTCTTTTAGCGGAATAATTCATATCTGGTAGAGGTCGGGTCTTTGAAAACACGAATTCTTTTTCGTAGATGACCATTTGAGGTGAGGAACGACCAGGGCCTAGACGAGTATGCGTATGATAACCTCATTCCTCGGAGTGTACGAAATAATATGTGACCAGTTAGTTGTTTGTTTGTTCCTTCTGTAACTCGTACTTTTTGTTAGACTGGTTAGATTTGACCGATCAGACTGCTATATGCACCTCAACAACCATTATTTATCATTCTTCTGGTATTATACTTTCTTGTAATAGATACATAACTGTATACTTGAATCATGGCGTTTTTATCCCGTGTAGCTCATGAATTGGAAGAACGATGGCTCGCAGATGACCTCGGTGTCGGGAATACCGCTAACAGTGGATTCGGAATTCTGTTTGCTGTTGCGGGATTTGGCCAACGATCAATTAATTCCTTGTCCTTTGGTTGCTGATTTGCCTCAACAACCGAAGGAAAATCATTCGTCTCTTGTTGAAGTTGAAGATCAATTCAAATCTGTCATACCACCGTCACTGTTCTCATCCAGACGGATCATCTCTCTTGTTCTGGTCAGTTTTGTTATGGTTATGTTACAAGATTCATATTCCCCTTTCTTAATGTATGTTTCCATTTTATGTATGTATGTATGTATGTATGTATGTATGTATGTATGTATGTATGTATGTATGTAAATGTCCTTCGTCTTAGTAGAAGTAGTGGTAGGTAGTAGTAGTAGTAGTAGTAGTAGAAGGTAGTTCTCTTTCAATTTTGATTACTTGTTCATTGCAGGCATGACGAAATGATAAGAGAAATAATCACATTCCAGCTCCATGACCGGTTGTTGTTCACAATTTTGGTCATCACACATACGCATTGGTTCGAATCATTAGGGGCGGGTGGGGGAATGGTTGTGTCGTGTGCGTTGGCCATGGCAGATCAAGTGTTCTTACCAGTTGCTTTTGGGAACATAGGGGGAGGGCATTATGCAGACGGATTCCGAGGGCTTCCGCTGTGGTCATAATCCGATTCCCAATCCCCCTAGATCGACTGCCGAGATGTTTTTATCACATCAGTCAGTTATCCTACTTGTTCACCAAATTACCACGGAACGGCCCGAAGATAATCAAGGTCACCTTCAGAACACCAGAAGTGGAAACCGCTGCACTTCAATCTTGGAAACTAAACAAGAAGAATAGGACCACCAAAACTGTGCCTGAGACCCTTGGTAAAAACTGTAGAACCGGAAATTCCACTGTCTGATAATCTTGCAAATGCACAGTCGGTTCAGGCTGCCCTCCTCCTCGGGGGATCAGAGTATCACGGATGAGTTGTGCCTACCGAAGCATGTCTCTTCTCAGATGCGATCTGTAGTGTTCTACTTTACCATCGAAGCGATCTCAAGTGCGATGCAGTTAATCCTTTTGTTTCAGACCCTGATGCAATTTGGTGTAGACTGAAACTGTCGAAGTACGACGATTTTCTTATTGGAGTGGTCTATCGTTCTCCCTCATGCAGGAAGTCGGTAAACGATACACTTTTGAGAGCTATGTCACAAGTCCTATCAGCTAAATTTAGTCATATTCTAATAGTGGATGGCTTCAATTGCCCTCATCTTAATCAAACTATGACCTCTCACCCATCGTTCCGAAGCCAGTTTAAACAGTTAATCGACTCGCATCCGCTGTACAACCACGTGAAGGAGCCCAAAGAGGCTTGGGAACTTAGAGACGTCGTCAATGCTGGATCCGGTATTAAGCAGCGAAGAACTTATGGTCGAATCCATCGACGTCTCGCCCCCCCCCATTAGGACGCAGTGTCTATGCATTATTGCTGTTCAAATATATCTGCCACGATTCGATAGAAAGAACTACGCAAAGCAATATACATCTCACCACGGACTATACTAGATTGCGGAATTCGGATCTTTCCTTTGGACGTACGTGCCCCTTTGGTCACCTGGCATTCATTTACGGACAGACTTACAAATCTGATCGCCTCAACTTCTAAGATTGTCAGAAAAGCAAGGGTCCAAACCTCGTCGATTCGCAACCGCACAAAGAAATGGATGGCTCTGCGAAATCGATCTTTTGGAGAATACAATCGATTTCCAACCGACAGCACCTGGAATAAATATCGATAATTGCGAAACCATTGTACCCAATTGGTGCGGGAGGATAAGATGAGGTACCAAGAAACGCTAGCACGGAATTTTATTTCTAATCCGTTGCTACTATACAAACATGTCAATATGTCGAGGAAAGTAAAGTATGGGATACCCGCACTCGTCCGCCTTGGGCAGGTCACCAGTAACACCCAGGAAGCGACTGAGAAGTCTTGGACACAACCAACAACGCGAGACTGCGGCTACCTCATCGGATATACTTTTTTCTAAATCCACCTTTGACTATTTTCACGTTTGATGACAACAGAGTGAAATCAAAGCTTTTTGGTATACGTAAGTATTTGGTTGTAGGTGCAGACACTCTACATCCCCAACCGCTTATTGCATTGGCGGATTACATATCTGAGCCGCTAGCTTTTCTGTTCCAAAGGATGTTTGACGCAACCGTGCTGCCTCAATCATGGAAACAAAGCATAATTTCTCCAACTTCCCAAGGTGGCTGTCTTAATGATCCCGCCAACTACCGCCCGTTGACACTCCTACCCGTCCTATCAAGTCATGGAATCCATCGTATCGGATTTCTTGATGGAACACTTGAAGAAATACTACCTTCTTTCTCCAGCTCAGCATGGATTCCGTCAAAAGATATCATGTACTACCAATCTGCTCGTGGTCCGCGATGAATGTCAGTAGACAAAGGCTATGCAGTTGATTTGGTTTACCTGGACCTCTCCAAAGCGTTCGATCGGGTAAACCACGAAATACTGCTCCGTAAACTGTACAATTTTTGTATCAGAGACCTCATGCTTGATTGGATTACTGCGTTTCTCCAACAACGGACCATGCCGGTTCGAGTCCGCTCCTACCACCGTTTCCAGCGGAGTCCCCCATGGTTGCGTGTTTAGTCCTCGAATTTTTATCTTGTTCGTAAACGACTTACCGAATGTCCTAGGACCACAAACATTGTTATGGTGGTGGCGCAGTGGTTTAGTCGCTGTCACCGGCGTGCTTTGCACCGAGGTTCGAGCCCCGCCACCGCCACCCGACTTTGGTGGTAGGCAGCTCTGCTGTCGTCCGGTTCAATACCACGCCTAACCTATCGGGGCCTTATGTGGTTCGCCACTCCAAGTTCCGGGGCTTAGGTTGCCGATTTCAACCACTGAATAACAGGTCCTCGTGACTATGGGGTTTCCCCCGTCTGCTGTTCATCACACCTAGGTGTGTAATAAAAAAAAGACGACGTCAAAATCTGAAAGACAGTGACAGAAAGTGGGTGTTCGCTGGAACTCCAAGAAACACTGAAGACAGCTCACAAATGGTCCACTGAGAACTGCATCCAACTTAACGTCTCCAAATGCAAGGTGATTTCGCTACGCCATCATGGTCGGTTTCCTTATTTCCTCGCAAACCAGCTACTGTCGCATGCATCAACAGAGAAGAGCTTAGGTGTTATAGCCCACGAAGATCTGAGCTGTTCTATTAACTGTGCCAGGGCGTCATCAACATTACTCAAACATGTCGGTCTACTTACACGTGTTTTTGGTCGTTTCGAACCATCTTTATTCCCACCTCTGCTATCAGCTTACATCCGGACGCATATTGAGTATGCCATCCAAACCTGGAATCCATGGTTACAACGTGATCATAAGATTCTCGATTGTCCACAAATGCCCGTCATGAAGGTGATCGCAGGACTCTATTATGATCCATACATGGAGGACTGCAGTCATTGGGTCTATACTCTGCTCAGTATCATCGGATTCGAGGAGAATTGATTTTAGTGTACCAAATATTGCACAACCCAAACCAACATTGTCACCCGCTTTTGACGTTGTCATCAAACGTTCATCTACGGGGACATCCATTCAAGTTAGTACTCCGAAAATCTCGACTGGGCTGTCAACTTCATTCCCTCGCCGTCACTGTCTGGAATTCCTTACCATCTCATGTCGTTTGTGCCACGACAGTTGGTTCTTTCAAGGTAAAACCTGACGAATGATTAACACACATTACATTCCAACATCCATGAGCACACATAACACAACCGAATAGAGCATACGGAATTTTGTTCATTATTGTTACAGTTCAATTCGTGCAAACCCAATGGGACAAGAAAAGTATCTGCTTGTTAATAATGTCCATAAAAAAGCTTTGACTTTGACGGCTCTGAACTAAGTAGATAGATCGAAACGCCTCGACCACATCAATCACGTGGTTTGACTCCACTAGGTGTGAAACGATAGAAGTGTTGATGGTCCTAATCATTTCACTATTCAGCCAGGCCGGCTGGTGCTCGCGGAATCCTTCAAATTATTGTGTGCTCGTGCGGCCAATAAAACTTGTCCCACAGGAACAAGTGAACAAGTACACACAAAGAGATTGCAGAAACAGGCAATTTATCTTTGAAACATTTATTTCCCCGAGATAAACTTGAAGAGAGAGCACAAAAAAGCTAGGTTGCACGAGTTATACCAAGGCAGATTTCGCTGCATCTCAACCGGTACAATACGGCAGGAAACTACAGTTTATATCGTTCAACAATACCTCAAGTTATACAAGGACGAATCATCGATCTTTTACCATTGCCAAGGCAGTGATAATGTGACTGACAGTTCTTTTTGCTCACACAAGCCGGGTTTTCATTTCCTGATTGCAACCGATTGCTCAAACCTAAGTAACCGGGGATTGGTGTTGGCATAAATCATTTTAAATCGGCTTGTCGGTTACGGACCACGGTTTGTAATCATCAAATGTCGAGCGATAGATGACGCAGGCAGTTAGTGTGTTCAGTATCCTTGAATGAGGGTGAGGTTGGTACTGGTGTAATGCTATTGAGTGTCTTAGTGGTGGGTGATTCGTGTGTGGTTTTGTGGGGTCCAATTGGAGAATGACCTTTAATCATATGATTCGGTCAATCGGCGTCTAACCCAACATTGGATGTGCTCCTGGATCCATGTATGCAACTGCCTCCCTGTTCTACCAACGTAAGATGCTCCGTATCTACATTCAAACAGGTAAATGACGTGTGATTTGGTGGACAGTGGTAGGAATTCCTTTGTGGGTGGAGTAGGGATGCGTGTGGTTGTGTACAGGACGATTGGGTTGGCAGCAGTATAAGTGCGCTTTACCACATTTTTCAATTAGTCTTGGAAAATCAAGCTGATATCGTTGCCTCTGAAGGGAAGGCAAATGTAGACCTTTTTCTTAGGGACATCGTATACTGCTGGTTTTTGCTCCGGTGTAGGACTGAACTTCTTAATAAAACTGCCAGGATAGCCGTTCTCGACAAGAATTGATTGGAGTTGGTCTAGCTCCGCTAGTAGGCTATCCTCGTTCAGAAATATGACGGGCTCACTACACCGCGCTTGTAGTTGAGTGTTACGAAACTGCGCAAGTGCTGATACTGGCCCGTCCATGCACTCTTGCCTTATGCGGTTCTGTCAATCGTTCCGTCTTGTCTCTGTGTTATTTGAATGCCTAAAATGCAGGGCGATCGTTTTGTTTTTCTTACAGTAGGAAATGTACATTCTTGTGCGAACTGTTCATGACTCGAAGGGGAGAAGTTACTTGTAATTGTTTGAGTACATCCTTTCGTTTTGTTCATTGTGTCAAGACAAACGTTCTCGAATTTGATTCGACACAAAAGAAATAAATTATGGAAAACATGCCACTTCCTCACGAACGTTTCTCGGTATCTAGCCAAGCGGTTTCTAGCCTCCTCGATATGGCACTTCGTCATACGTCGAAGGTTGCTTTTGGTTGGCCTCCTCCATTCAGTCCATAGTCGCTTACGGTAGGTAACTGGGAAGTTATTCTGCCGAACATAATCATTTAGAAATAAAATCCGAACAGTTTGTTTCGCAATTTTGCACCTCAGCTTCACAAACCCATCCGAGTTTTATAGTTGTTTTCGGGAGACGAGCACGTAGAAAATTGAAACATTTATTTCCCGAGATGAACTTGAAGAGAGAGCACAACAAAGCTAGGTTGCACGATTTATACCAAGGCAGATTTCGCTGTATCTTTGAGTTGGAAGCGCCAAAATGGCCTTGAGATGAAAGTAATGCGAATTTTTGTTGCGTAGACTGCTTTTTCTTAACAGCAGCACTCACTTTACGTGTCACTATCATATCAGGTGGTCTCAGCTTCATTCCGAATGGAGTCATGATTTTCTAAACAGTGGTATGCGGAAACCGTGACTTATTCGACCGGACTACCCTCCATATTAGTTGTTTCCAACTTTTATCCGTTGCGATCAAATTCAACCATTATCTTGCTTCAACGTGATCGTTTTTTCCTTTTGATTTAAGACTCGATGGAGAAATTTCATTGATTCTGCAATACATTGNATGTACCTCTCCAATAATTTGTCTCCCAGCTTCATCTACATGGCAAAATTTCTCGAATTTCATTCGGTTTGGATAAGGTGACACTACAAAACGCTGATTCAACGAGCTGTACACTTCAAAGTCAACTTTCGGGGGTCATTGTTAATGGCTTCTAGATTGTATTTTGAGTCACTTCAGGATAAGGGATTTTAAGTGAGTGGTTCACAGCCAGTATGATGAACAGCGCATCTGAAGACCCAATTCAAAAGGAGCTCAAGTGACCATCAAGGAACCTGGTGAGCGCCACGTGTGAACGAAATGAAATCCACAACTAGGTGTGGAAACACCTGGGGGCTTTCCCAACTCATCCGTGATACTGTCCCCAAAAGCAGTGCATGGATGAAACAATTTATGAACCGGACGGCACCCAATAGAATGTCTTCGTCCACGTTTGGAACGCTGGGCAGTGCACTTCACATAGCAGTTCAGCCAGCCTCCCACACTGGCTACTCCAAGTCGCTTTCTCGAGGGTGCACCCTGGCGGTGGTGACCCGGTGGTGAAGGTCACCAAATTATCAACCCGGAAGGCATGTGTTCGAATCTCACCTGACTGACTTCTGACTTTCCCCATTATTTGTTGCCTTTGATTGGTCGCTTCTCCTTCCGGTAGATTGTATCATTGCATATTCAATACAGGGTAATAAAAATGGATCCCCGCCTCTGGGGCCACCGGCCCTCTCTCAAGATAATGCGAAGTTTCTCATAAGAGAGCTTTCGAGACTATTCTCCAAGATCTGTCAAGACGAAACTGTACCCATGCATGGGGAGAATCAGCTGTCGCAATGCCTGTTCCAACCATAGGGGCATATGTCTGATATCAGTTCGGTTCAGTTTGTACGACCATTAACCATATACTTTCGTTCTCGGATTTTGGTTGCTGTCTTTTGGCTACCCATTTGGATGAATAATAGGAAAAGACAGGAAAGTTGAAGGCAAAGTCGGACAGAAAATGGAGAAGTTCAGTGGTCTAAGTTTGCAAAGAAATTGTGAAGATGCAAGAACGCCATTCTTTACGACACCCAGCCATATCATTCAGTGTCTCTAACCATCGGGTACAATCATCCCGAGGTCCCCAGTCAGGTAGCCTAACGGGACCTATGTGACCCAGACTCTGCGCCTAACCTCAGCATTGTTCGTCCGGCTGCCCCACTAGATTCGTGCAATGCTGCGTAGACAGCGGTGTTCAAACACTGAAAGTCCATCTTTGGCCTGTTTTCTTAATGGCCAAGTTTCTGCGCCATATAGCAGAACTGGTTGAACTACCGCGGCATACACTCGACCCTTCACAGACAGCCGGATGTCGCGACGGCGCCACAGATGTCTCAAGTTGGCAAATGCCAACCGAGCCTTCTGTATGTCTGATGTCAGTAACACCGGAGCTTTTAGTGTTCGTTTTATCATACAAAATAAATCCGATGCACGGGAAACAAATTCGCGAAGACCAGGCCGGGTTTTGTGCATACCTTGGTGGCATTGGTCAAATTTTTTCTCATCCTCAGCTACTGGAACACCGCTACACATATCGGCAAGAAACTATTATTTTGTTTTTGGATATCAGAGCGGTCTGCGACTCTGATTGCTTTGCCCTGTGTATCTGTTTGTTGAGATATGAAGCACCCGAGAAGAATATCTTGCTTCTCAGATCTCCGTATCGTCAAATCTCGGGGAAGGTTAGTGTCCAAGGTGAACTCTTACCCTCGTTTTCTACCACCAGTGAGGTACGATAGGGTTGCCCTATCTCCATTTCTCTTCAACTTTGCCATAGATGATGTAGTTTTCACTCGAAGTGATCCTATTTTCTAGTTCTGATTCGAAAAACCTGAAAACCAGCAACCCATGTTTTATAACTATAGATTCTCTTATCAGTTTAAATAAGAACACTATTTGATGTTCATCTTTGTCCCGTTCAATACCGCATGCCTTTTTTTGTTTATTTTACAGGTTTGCATCAATCTAATCACTAATTTTCATTTTTTTGTTCGTTTGCGGTTTACAGACAAAAAACTTCCTCTTGAAGCCGGTTCGTAGATGTCTGTTACTTTCATTTCGTCGTTTTCTCGTTCGCGGTTCCAAACTGAGCCGAGTATTACAGCCTCACAATATAGATGCCATAGTTGAATCCACAGAAATTCTGAAGGAGTTGATGCATGTTACCAAGTCCCAATTCAGAGTGGGCACATGGGAGCGGGCAAACGCCATTGTACATCTTCTGAGTGATCGGCATCGATTTGGTGTGACGTTGGATAAGGTGTTAAGACAGCCCAAAACCGCACGCGCTTTGGCAGCAAAAAATACAATGGCCGGTCTGCCAGCGGTAAGAGAAAGTGTTTTTATTGTAATGAATCTTTTTATGTGAACGTGTCGCCCCTAATGCATAAGCATCCGTCTGTTGCTGAGTGATCTTTTTAGGGAAAGACCAAAAATATTGCTATCTGAATGCATCGTGTTTTTCATCTAAAGTTTTGATATGTTAGTAGTGACGAATTTGATTTGAGTATATGTTTAATTTCGTTGCTTAGAGAGTGAATGAAGTATAAACTAAAAAGCTAAGAAGCATTGCACAATTGCTTCGACTTAATTGGGCCTTATCAGGAATGCGAATCCATCAATCCGTCTGAGAATCAAACTTGTAAACTCACAGATAAAACACAGCATACTACCCACTTGACCACCGGGTAATCGATTCGAACATTTTCACATTGTCAAATCAAATCCTCCACCACACGAAATCAGATCCGCAACGTCCAAGCTATTTATCACACTGGAGACGGGTGCCAAGATGAATGAGTTGTGATGCCTGGAACAAGCTTGCAAAGTTGGGTTGTGTTATATCGTGCATGAATAAAATGAGAAACGGTCCGATCAGCCATCCCTGAGTGGTTAAATGAGTCGTTCATTTGCGGTGTATGTATGAATTGCCGGACTAGATCCTCATTGAGACCATGGATTTGAACCACTGATGAATCTCGAGCGCGTCAAAACAGTAGTACAATACTTCTTTACCTTTCAGTTCACACTTCACTTGCTCTGTGCGTGATGGAGTTAACCGTAGATCGATTTGTTTTCTAGTTACGATAAAGTTGCTCTGTTTATACCTCAACCTCAGAACCGGTTTTCGTAAGTGTTCTCTCTTTGTTCATTGCCAGCTAGTATGAAACGAGTACCACTTTCGTCAACCCACATAACTACCAAATCTCTCTCTATAGGACATCTAGATGTTTTCAAATAGATCTGGTACTCACTTTGATTCCAATCCCTGTGTTGTGACTCAGCAATGTTCCCCCCCACTGAATTCCACTTGGCCAGATTGCTCCGCTCGTCGCCAGTCAGATGGTCCGTCAGGTTTGTGCTGACAAAAGGCATACTGCTTCATCCTCTGTGATGGCTTTGGGGGACTACCCAATGAACCAGATGGAACATGAACCAAGCACTTCGTTTGCTACGGATGCAGAGGGGCCCACAGTGAATGTCGGTACTGATGTTGATTCAGTTCTCTCACACTCCAATGTGCCGAAAATCAACGTCCCGACGGCAAGAAAACGATCTGTTGCTTACAGTATGGGCGGAGGAAGAGGTCATCGATTGCTTGAAATTCGACGACTCCTTGATCGGATTGGTCCAAATGGACAAGATATTTATCTGCTCGGTAACGTGGGTTGGATAAATGAGAAAGATAGACACTTGGTAGGTTGTATTTTNTTTTCACCCCCGTAATCAAATCTCTCAGTTGTGTCGGTAAAATGCCAACCACAATATTTAGAACAATACAGTGTGAGGAAACATTTCTTTCCTTCGGACTGATTTTACCGTTCAATCTAGCTGAACCAATCAATTTTACCATAACCACAACTCTTACCCGTGATTGATGAAAACCGTGCCTCATTGTGTGTTTTGTTTGTTTTCTTGTGTTATCCATGTAATTGTAAAGAGTTCAATGATGAATTACTGCAAACCCTTTTGCTTTGCGAAACAGCAAACGTTTGAGTTCTTCAACTGTTTCATAAGCCTTCATTTAAAACAGTATGATCAGGTTATGTTTAAGAAGAATCTGGTGGATGTAAACTTACCTCGTATGTTCTATCGTAACGAATATTATTGATCCCATTTCCTCTTAACATACGTGCTGTTATTTTTCTGTTTTTCTTCTCCTCTCTAGACTTTTTTTTAGGATTTTTAGGTTTGTACTGCTATCTACTGGATAGTTCAGCACAATTATTGGAAGATGACTACGGAAACCGTAATAATAAGTCCTAATGCGAACGAATCGATACATTGTAACTGGAAACCGCACCATAAAGTCGCTTAGCTTCAGACCCGTATTTTTATTGCACACTACTGTATATGAAAGACAAACAAGTTTCAAAGAATTATTACAATGATTCTGTTGCTGGTTGCGGTGGGTTAAATGCATCCAACCTGAGTCAATTGCACGCCAGGGTTGATTTCAGTAATTTTATAGTGATTAGTATACGAATGACTGGACATAATTTCCCTGGAAGTACATGACCGGTTTCTCGGCCCTTGTCGCTCGTCAAGCATGCGCATCCGTTAATCTTTTGTCTGGTCATTCGTATACTTATACATCACATCTGAGTTCAGACTATGCCAGACAAATCACAGTAGAATAATCGTTATGAAAATAAAAACGCCCATGATTTGCTTGTGGACGGCATACTATCAAGTTGCGCCGGCCAAAAAGGGAAATTTTCTTGGGAAATTCACTTCCAGAGGCTTTGGATAGCCAAACCTGACCCACAGGTCAGCGGGGTGGAGTTTGCAGTTCGCAATCTACGGTGGCCGGGGCCCAGTTCATCGGACGATACACCCTTCGGATGCGACCGAATGCCCACGGTGCTCATACACCTCGATGCCCAGTCAAACCAATGACCACTACCATAAC